GAAGAGAGAGAGAGAGAGAGAGAGAGAGAGAGAGAGAGAGAGAGAGAGAACTACTAAACACATAATAATTTATCAGACTTCCTCTTCACTTTGAAAGCAATGATGAAGGTCACCTTGACACAGTGCGCACTCAGAAAGTAAAGCCTCATCGGCCAAAAATGGCTCAAATATTTACCAAGTCCGTCTATTTCACGGGCGTGGGACAAGTCAGAATGACACAATTCGTATACTTGCTCAGCAAACAGTTGTAGGGGCACCGGCAGCCAGCAAACATGACGTCATACTCATTGTTTGCAAGCGACGAGGCACCCAGACCGACAAAAAGACGTCCTGCTGGGGCGCTGCTTGATCTACGTACAGCGCTAGTTTACAATAATATCATTCCTGTGCGTCGCGGCAATCAAGACATTTTTCGGAAGTCATGAAGTTAAAAAACCAAACATACAAAGTTTGTACTCAACGGTGGGACACCTGGTCCTGAACGTAAATGATAGGACAGAAGCAGAAAAGATATACAAATTAATGGAACCGCAAAGATGTATGGACACGTCCTGAGTAAGAAACCGATATCAGCCATATTTTTACTTCCAAAGATGTGTACGGCATGGGTTTGGCAAGCACGTCTGACCGATCTGAGGCTCGAATCCTCGAACCCACGCTCTCATGATTGCCAGTCCGGTGGACTAACTACTAGGTTACCGACGCCACAAAAGTCTGACACAGAAACAACAGAGTGAAATACAAGTAAGACTGACATGAGGCGCTTTCAAACCACCCAAAGAACATCGGTGGTGTCATGTGTAGTGAGTCATCATGTGAATGGCCAAAATTCACCTGTACTAGATCAAGAAGACAACATACACAATGACAGGTTTCATTGTTCGTTCAAGTTTTACGCCACCTGCAACACACGTAGGTCGTTTAAGTGCCGAAGAATAGTTGTGTTACAAGAGAGTAATATACACAAAAAGGGGGAGAGATAAGGACGATATATGTTTGAAGATATGAAAGAAGGAGAAAACCACACCAGAGCACTTGCCAAACAATCACTTAGTTTTAGTAGAGGTTTTTGCTTTAGTAGATGTTTTACGGGGCTCCCAACTGCATAAGGTCATATGAGCGCCAGAAGATTAGAGGTGTTACAAGAGAGTAACTAACATAAATGGAACCTTGTTTGTTCGTTTTAGTAAGAGTTTAACGGCACTTGCAACACAATAAGGTCAAATAAATGCCGAAGATTAGAAGTGTTACATGAGAGTAACAAACATAAATAAGAACAAAGGGTGATCAGGACGACAGGTGTTTCATAGGACAGAAGAAGCAAACCACACTAAAGCACCCGCCAACCACCCACAAACAATCACTCAACAACAGGAAGGAAGTAGAAGATGCCGACACAACACTAGAGAGTCCACTAATCATCGTTTCTGGAACAAGAAAAAAAAAAAAGAAGCAAAACCAGTAAGCCAAAGCAACAAAATAATGAACATAACACCATAATATACTCGATTCCTTAACGTCTGTCTTCCAGGCCCGCAAGCTAATCGCTGTAATTACCCGAGACTTCCCACAATGCCGGTCGTTCTCTGGTGACCGCCCACTTCTCCCTCGGGGCGCCCTGACCACACAGTGGCCTTTCCGGCCTGAGTGACCACACAGATGTCCTTGTTCATTCTCCAAGCGAAAACACAAAGGACGAGAATGTATAGAAAGGAATATTTGGGGTGAAAAGACGGACAGACAGACAGACAGACAGACAGACAGACAGACAGACAGACAGACAGACAGAC